CTCAGACAGATTCAGCCTACAAAACCTAAAACATTCAAATCTCGATGTTAAACGACCGCGTGACATTCTGCAGGTTCTATGCTTTTACCATACTCGAACAACGACGTTTCTGGCTTTACTTTTTTCTGATTCATTTTCTACATAGAAATAACAGACAAACTATAACACAAATGGTCTGTTGTTTACAAATTGTAAATCACTTTGAGAAATAAAAAAGGTTTATTTATTTATGATTTTGATTAATATTAATTGTTCTTTTACATAAAAAGAAACCATTTCATTGTGTAACTTCTCTTATATCTTTATACGTAAAAATAGAGTTGAAACACAATCTTTTCCTTATATTAATGTCGATGATATGATATTAGTCTCCAATCCATCAAATGTTGTAATCTTTTTAAATGAAATAATTTCCAACACAGTTTTATACTTAATTTATTTTTCCATAAATAAATATTCACTTTTCTAATAAATACTGATATTTATTATCAACCACGATAACTATGCCTTAACAAGATCGAAAGATTCAGAGTTTACGAGTTACCGAATTTTGCACAACGAAACCGTTGTTTCGAAACGAAAAATATGATGAAATATTATTTTTTGCCCTCACGCCAATCCTGTCAAACACATTGGCCATAATGTTCGGCGATTGTTAAACGCAAAGCGTTGGCCACGAAGCTCCCAAAACAAATGCGACACCAATATACGCTCAAACAATGAAGGAAATAGGTAGGGTTTGAAAAAGAGCTCTCGCATACCGCGTTTGACAGAATGATTTGTACCAGTGTTTTGTAAAAGTGTACGCCTTTTCAACGTTGCAGAAGATAACGATCGAAACGTGCAACGAGTAGTTACGATTAATGGGTTCTTTCACTTTGCAAAACGATAGCGATGGAAAAATGTTGCCAAAGGTATTGATTTGTGAGGAAATTTCATCAGATTCCTATTAAACCCTTTCTACGACGATGGTACCGTGCACATACATTTGTCAACATACAGTTGCATGCTCTTACGAATAGAACCTCGTATTATTTAATGCATTAATTGTTATAATACATAGAAATAATGGTAGAAATACATGTATATTTATAGCTAAGCATTGTGTTCTGTCTTCTACAGTAGGTCAATTTTGTTAAACAAAAATTATCCACATTACAATGAAGTGCTGTAAAATGTGACAAAATTTAAATATCGACACTTACAATTTTTTAACATTTTACACTGTACCATATTATCACTTTCATCGAATTTATACTATTCGATTGGAAATACCCTCATTTTTGGAATAATTTATTTACGTTATTCTTGTTATAAACGACGAATTTGTGTAGATTGAAAAGGACTCTACTTGAGCTTAGCGCTTTAAAAATGATGAATTTATAAATAAAGCGGAAACCAGCCCTATCTGGTAAAAATGTTAATTTACGGAAACGATTCGTAACTACGTATATACAACGATCAGAAATGAGTTATACGATCTCAGGAGACCAAAATAAATTGGCTCGAGTCGGATGGAAGGTATTCCGGTACTGCAGTCGATCAGGGAAAACAAATAATCTAGAGCTAAATAAGAAATGAATTTCGTTCCATCGGAAGACATACACTACGGACTTTTTGTATTTCGTCGTTTGCTATAAAATGTCTTGTTACTTCAAGTTTTATATCCGTTTCATATTATACCTGTGTCGTACAAACGAATCGAAAAGCTTAATTAAAAAACAAATTTTGAGTATACTACAATGTAAGTAAAAAACACCCAATGGCTGTTGAAATCGTTGTAACATTCTTAAAACATCATCGATTTTAATTTAACAGACCTAGATTCTTCCTTGAATGGCACAGATTAGAAATATATTTGTAACAAAATATTTTAAACGAATTAAAAATTGAAAACAGATTATTAGTTAAACCACAATAACATATGCTGGTGTGTACTAGGGTTAAAAAATCTGAAATGTGGAAAATATCGTATCTCTGTAACAGTATAGATACTTTCAGGATTCCATGTCAGAATTCCACGATATGTATAAAATTATACATGTAAAAGCAGAACAGTAATAAAATACAACAGAAAAAGGTACCACAACGTAACACTATAATACACAGAATAATTCAACAATTATCTTCATAGTCAAATAACAAAAATTTATTAGAGCTTGGAATTGTACTATTATTGGCTGGAAATTTTGTACTTAATATTTTAATAGATAATTATTGGAAGATCTCATCAATGTATATGACAAATAAATAAAACTGTTCCATTTCTCAAAGAGATTTACAATTTGTAAACAACAGAGCATTTGTGTTACTTTATCAAAGTGTTAAAAAATGAAATCTATTATTTTTACGTAGAAAATAAATCAGAAAACTCTAGTGGTGCTCTACTATTCTCAACTAACAACATTGAGTGTCAAGACACACGCAAGTATTCAGACAAACATGTCAGGCGCAATTTTATAGAATTCCTGAATCTCCAAAAACTAAGAATCTCGAGAAAACACAATCTTGAATTAAAGTGAAACCTCAAAATTTGGTATTATTTTTATGTAGAAAATAAATCAGGAAATTCTAGTGGTGCTTTACTATTCTCAACTAACAATATTGCGTGTCAAGACATACGCAAGTATTCAGACAAACATGTCAGGTGCAATTTTATAGCATTCCTGGATCTCCAAAAACTAAGAATTTCGAGAAAACACAATCTTGAATTAAAGTGAAACCTAAAAATTTGGTATTATTTTTATGTAGAAAATAAATCAGGAAATTCTAGTGGTGCTCTACTATTCTCAAGTAACAATATTGTGTGTCAAGTACCACAACACAACACTATAATACACACAATTATCTTCACAGCTAAAAAACAAAAATTTATTAGAGCTTGGAATTGTACTATTATTCGCTAGAAATTTTGTACTTAATATTTTAATAAATAATTATTGAAAGATCTCACCAATATATATGATAAATAAATAAAACTGTTCTATTTCTCAAAGAGATTTACATTTTGTAAATAACAGACCATTTGTGCTCCTTTATCAAAGTGTTAAAGAATGAAATCTATTATTTTTTCGTAGGAAATAAATTTGAAAACTCTAGTGGTGCTCTACTATTCTCAACTAACAATACTGCGTGTCAAGGCACACGCAAGCATTCAGACAAACATGTCAGGTGCAATTTTATAGCATTCCTGAGTCTCCAAAAACTAAGAATCTCGAGAAAACAGAATCTTGAATTAAAGTGAAACATAAAAATTTATTATTATTTTTATGTAGAAAATAAATCAGAAAACTAGTGATGCTCTACTATTCTCAACTAACAATATTGCGTGTCAAGACACACGCAAGTATTCAGACAAACATGTCAGGTGCAATTTTATAGCATTCCTGGATCTCCAAAAACTAAGAATTTCGAGAAAACACAATCTTGAATTAAAGTGAAACCTAAAAATTTGCTATTATTTTTATGTAGAAAATAAATCAGAAAACTCCAGTGGTGCTCTACTATTCTCAACTAACAATATTGCGTGTCAAGATACACGCAAGTATTCAGACAAACATCTCACGTACAATTTCTGTATGCATATGTGAGTGTTATGAACTGGAAACGTCTGTTTTCAACTCTCCCCCTGCAATTCAAAAGAGACTGCCCATAGACTGGCCATTTCCGAATTTTTAACGAAACAAAACTCTTCGTGATATTTTATCGTCGTAACATTTTTGTGTCGAGGCATCGTAACGTTACGGTATCTTGGGCCGTGGAATTTTTATGCGGTATTTTTGGCTATAATATTATGAACGCGTGGAATTCTACCGTGTCGCCGTTTCCAGTCGATGAACGAGGAAAAACAGCTCTTTTTATACGTATTTTAGGGGTCATTCTTGCAACGGCGTCGCAGTTTCGCGAATCTGCAAAATGCCAGTGTTTCGCGTAATTCCGGGTATTTATGCGTAACCATTGTTGTATGCGCGTTGCCCGCTGAAAAATTACCGGTTTCGCGATAGTAGCAACAGCGATCGCGCGACATGAACGCAATCGAGCCGAGAAAGAATAGTTTCCAAGAATTTCGCCGTTCAATTAACCCGACGAGATTCTCGACGTGCTCGCGAGAACGCTATGGCGTGATCGTTCCAATCGGAGCAATTTCGAGATTCGCCGGTGCACCGTGGTTCTTGCAATAATTGAGTCGTGCAGCAACCTGAAAGACACGAGGCCCTCGTGTCCGTCAGACACCCCTATAACGCGTTCTTAAATATCGCGTGATGGCCGATTCGCATCGTGAGGCATTAAACCTTCGTTTCTGTACAATTCATTTACGATTTCACCTCTTTTCATTTTTTAGCTTCGTTTCATATCTTATAATTACATCGTTATTTTACTACACCGCCAAGCATATTAATTGATGTGTTTCAAAACACTACGAGTCCACCAACCATCGTTTCTAAACAGTTTCCTTTTTATATCTTTTTAAAATCTTCAATTGAAAATAATCAACAGAACTTTCACTGTTTAAAAAATTCAACATACTACCCGCAGTATTATATTAATAATTGCCAAAACAATACCATGACTGAGTTGTTTTAAATATTATTGTTGTTTAAAAATAATTTATGAATGAGATATTATAATACTAGTTAGGACTGAGTTAGCTAAAAATAGTTGTAACTCATATATTATCACAGAGTGGACTTGTGCTGTTTTGGAACTCATGGCTTCGATTCTTATCAAATACGATATCAACTGAAGCGTGTTCGAACAAAAAAGCAGTGATTTGAACCTTCCAGAGCACTCGAAACAATACGTTCTGTGAAGAAATTAAAACAGAGCAATTTATGAATTAATGCATTAAATAAATTTTGCTCTTCGATCGTAAATCATCCGTAAAAAAAGAGGAATTAACCATAATCTGTCGTAACGATCGATCCTCTTCCGTTCCGAATGCTCTGGAAAGAGGTGTTTACTTTCGTACCAGAAGAATGGAATTGGAAATGGAAACTCACCCTCGATAATGGAACGCTGCGGCTTGTAGGACATGTCTGGAAAGAGAAAAGGGTTAATATTAGTGAAATTAGTCACAATATGTACACCAGGAGTGTTAAGAATAGAGTTAAGAATTTTGGATGGAAGCAAGCACGTTCAAGCCATCGCCCCTTTGCAACAAATTGTTCCATTTTACGAAAATATTATGGTGCACGATATTCATAGCGGTGTAAAAAGTTGCTGGCGCTTACGATAATAGGCAAAAGAAAATTCTGCGAAGTAACTCTTTCAACTTAATGAAATAAAGGCACCCTTTTCGTTCCGTGAAGTCTCGTCTTCCCTACAACATAATTAAATAATGGTTCCCTTTGTAACTAATGTGGGGTTCAGGAATGGCATTCAGGGTTGAAATTACGTTTGTTGCATGTTTCCTCCGGGGTTGAAAATACGTTTACGTGCCGTCATTTCAATTGTAATTAGAACTATATAATGTTGTTACGCGTTGCACAATACTTTCCCGCGTATTTCATATCACAAGACTGTTATCATAGTTTTTCCTTTCTACTGGTATTATCTACAAGAAAAAATAAGTAAAAAACATACAATAAAATTTTTACTATGGTGTCTTTGTATTTTCAATACTTATGTCTTCTGTTATGTATCTCGTACTATATGGTTATCCCATTAGCGAATAATAATTATTATTATGGTATAAAATCAGTGTACCACGTTCGTGGACGTGAATACTATAGCATTCATTTTCACTGTGATGCAAAATTACATGAATGCTACAATATTCAAATCTATAAATCACATTACCATATATTCAATTTTATATAGCTTTTATTTTTTGAAATTATTATGCTGAATGAATTACCTGTCCATTTTTGAAGCTCATTAAAATGTTTACTATCCGCGAACGTATTAAAAAGTTCCAATAGAAGACCTATATTAATAATAGTAAAAATATGAAAGTCTGTTGTGTTAAATGCAATAGTTATAACATTATGTGATCGTATCCAAGACGTCATGTTTAGCAAATACGAACCTTATGGCTTCGAAATTTAAAAGAATTCTATTATTATTAGCTAGAAATTTCCACTTCCTGTGTATCCAACATATATCTGTAGAGTATTTAAGGATAACTCGAAACGATTTTATCATTTCAGTTTATCGAACACTCAGCAGACTCAATTTAAACGAAGACTGTCCTTCAAGTTGACGTTCGTGTATCAATCAAGAATTCTATTATAATTAGCTAGAAATTTCCACTTCCTGTGTATCCAAGATATATCTGCAGAGTATTTAAGGATAACTCGAAACGATTTTATAATTTCATTTTATCGAACACTCAGCAGACTCAATTTAAACGAAGACTGTCTTCAAGTTGACGTTCGCGTGCCAATAAAGAATTCTATTATTATTAGCTAGAAATTTCTACTTCCTGTGTATCCAAGATATATCTGTAGAGTATTTAAGAATAACTCGAAACGATTTTATAATTTCAGTTTACCAAACACTTAGCAAACCCAAAGAGGAATCGCATTCACGAAACCTAGACACCAACTTTAAATTCTGCTGACAGAAAGACGCCACGCATTATTTGCCTGTAAAATTAAGCCCAATTGAAATTCACGCCGCGGTAAAGAGAAGGGCAAAAACATTCAACGATCCAAGCCGTTGCAAGGAGCTAAGTTCTTCAGAAATTCAGTCTGTCGCGTTTGCAAACTTTCGTCGATTTTGTCGCGGCCCTGAGACAACCGTAATTAACGTCTAAGCGCTAATCAGCCCGATCCGAGGTTTCTCGAACAACGAGACTCAAGGAAGGAAGACTTACGCGAATCGGGGTTAAGGCAGACGGACGGGCCGTGGCAACTTTGGGGAGCAAATAACAGGAAATTCGGGGTCCCCGAGTTGCGCAACACGCTACGATGATGTTCCTCTCGTGAAACTTTTAATTATCCTTTCCTGGGCTCCTTTTAATGAAGAGGTTCCGCGTACGTTGCTCCGGCACATATGACGTTGAAAATAATTACAAGTTTCTGCATGAATTCCGGACCTAACCCGAACGATGCACGTTCAACGACAACGAATGCTTGTTCCGAAGAGGCGTGTTTCGCATAGTGACTATCATGGAACGAAGGGCACCGTTAACCCCAATCGTCTGGCAAAGTTGGTCGCACGATCGCGGAATCCCTCGCTATCTTCGGGTTTTACGACTTTAGGCGACTAAGATGTTTGAGACTTTGATGGTTCGTAATATTATTAATTACAGGTAACGCTATTGTGAAACTCGAATGCAGAAGGAGTTGTTGCGATGCAGGATGACGATCGATCAGGGGTTCGATGGATCGTTTGCGATCTAATGTGCATAGCGTTGATGCGATCTTGGTGTGATGTGAGTGGTAATATTTGCTGACAAACTTTAATAAAAACAGTAACTGAATGTACGAAGATTGTGTGCTGGTCGAGTGAGTTCTAACTGTGTTCTCTCCGAGTTCTGGCTGAGTTCTGATCGATGGCTGTGTGTTTGCACGCTTGTCGATTGGGTTAAGGTTGTGATTGGTGGAGGTTGTTTTGTGGAAAGGTAAAATGTATGAATTTTGGTTGGTCGGTTGTGCTACGAGGGTGGATCTGAGATGGCCTTGAGGTGGGGTTTGAAATGTTTAACCCTTTGCATTCCGAATTATATTTCAATTTTGTTACCAGCAGCTCCCAACGCTTTTAAGTGTTTTATTTGAAATTTACCTGTTAAAATATCTGTTTTATTTACACTGTTGTTGTATTTTGTAATTTTCAAGTGTATAATATCTCTTTGGTTTCGACTTGAAAAAATGTCAAGTGGGGCTGGACGAAGGAGCTCCTGAGATAAAAATTGACGTCGAATCACACTCGACATAGGAGTGCAAAGGGTTAAACATTTCGGGAAATATTAGTCGGTTAAAATTGCAGGTGTATTGAGGTTTGAAAGTGATGCACAGCTGTCGAGAAGGTCGAGTTTTATGGGGACGGTCACTGTAACCCTTCTGTGTCTACCTGTGTTGGGTTTCAACAGGAGAGGAACATTCTTAGGAAGCAATTGAAGAAAAGAAGTTAGATAAGACAAAGGAAGAGCTGAAAGAAAACAATAGAAAGTAAAAGAAACAAGAAGACATCAAGATCGAAAGATAAGAGAGGGGAAAATTGAATGAAATAAAAGAGGTGTCATGACAAAAAAAAAATAGACCATGATGATATTGCCAATGTAAAAGATTAGGCACATGTCGATTGTATAAAAATAAATTTAAAAATAAAATTATCCAATGCCTAAACATTTATAGACTAATTAACTAGTCGGTACTAATTACAATATAACTATTTTTACGAATTATCAACCCTTATAAAATTTACGAAAAGTAACTTCCTCCCATTTATTAAGTCCCGAAATACAATTATACAAATATTCATCGATAAAATAAAGAATGGATATGAATCAAAAGCGATAAACGAACACAGTGCTGAGTAAATTGAGTAACGATGACTTGAAGAAGTGACTATCGTATGCAGAAAAGTTCAGCCTATCGCAGATGCTATTAGCGAGGCAGTAGACTCTATTTAACCCTTTGCCGTAGAGTGACTGAATTTCTGACTCGTCATAAGTTCTTTATGCCAAGTTTCGCAATGACGAGGCTACTCTCGTCATGAAGTCTAATATATCAACATATTTTTACATTCTTAAGATACGAATAAATTTAAATAATATACGTTTGAAAAATTACTTGTAATTAACCATTTGACGTACGATTTAATTTCAAATAATTTTTCAAATGTATGCTACTTAATTTTGTTCGACACTAAATCCACAGACATTTTATGTATACTCATTCCTACCATGACCGATCAAATGACCAGTCTTTCTCTTTCTCTTTTACGAGACAATATACTCTTAATATTTGCGTTATATATAGAATGTTAACTTACGAAGTTAAGTCGTGTATTTTTCTCTTTTATGTCGTATATTTTAAAATTCTGAACAAAAATATTCAATATGCGTATACTTAGCATTTAAATTTCATAGAGAAAACTTACATACTACGTCGAAATTTTTTAATTTTCATCGGATAAAAGATAAAACGCCCTTGAAAACGAATTTTGCTTCAACTCGATACCGTAGTTAGCTCCAGAGAAAATCATTATTTACGAAAAAATGCCGGCTAGTAATTATGCAAACATTCTATATAGAAATTTAAATTCATTTTCAAGTAAATGAACAGTTTATGATCCAGTTTTATCGCGCATTAGTTGTATAATTAATAGGAATTGGTGAAATTTCTGTAGGTATATAGCGTCAAAGAAGATTACAAAATAAACATACAAAATAGAATAAATAATAATAATTGTTATGTTCAACGGATGGAGGATGAAGAGCTCTTTAAAATGAGTGTCCATTGAAGTCGATAGCGTAATTAGTTCCAGAAATATAACGATTTTTGTTTCATGTCATTCGCGTCGTTAGTTTCGGAGATATAAGGGTTCGAAGTTTGTTGACATCGACGCGAGGTCGATGACCGCGCGTGCTCGTAGTAAACAATGCGTAGTAAATTCTTGGAAATACTACGGGGAACAGGGTCACGACAGTCTCGATCTTGGGGTAGGTCAGCATGATGCGAAAAAGAGAGGTCTGACTCGTTAGACAAAGACAGAGATAGTAAAGTTAAAAAAATTACCTCTTTACACAAATTGCAATATCTTCTAAATAGAAAGTCAGATCGACATAAACCAAAAACCATTTTAAAGAGGAAGATTTGCCACTCTCAAGAGTGACTCAATTATGGAGAAATCACTAGTAGTTTCACCCAGTAAACAAATATTAAATAATCGCAATGACTTGCTATAATCGTGGTTGAAATGAAACACTCACTCGATAAAAGAGAAATGGAATGCAAAATGGAAAACAACCAACATACACAACATCACACAAGACTTCTTCATGGCAGTAAACACCAGTCTCATTACCAATGAAGAAAAAACTATAATATCCAGATTAAGATGTGGCTATACAAAAATAACACAGAAC